CCTAGCTTGGTTCTACGCGAAGGTTGCAATTACCAGGCTCAGCGCTTCCAGAACTTGCTGACCACTTCGGGCGGTTGGCGTTCTCGTGCCTCTCAGTAGTTTCACTATGACAGAAGCGAGAGATCGCAGCATCTAAATGATCTGTCGACCGACCCGTGCGACATCGTCGACTGAAGTAGACTCGGAAGGTGGTGTAGAGCGAGGAGACCTGGGAGGAGGCTCCTTCGCAGACTGCGTGCACAGAAGCGCTGGCCCTTCTTCGACAGCATTGATCTTCACCGACTTGCTTGCAGTTTTGCTTGCTCTCGAAGGTAGCGAGTTTTGTGCAAGTAGCGTGCTGTCTTGCATTCCACACCGATAGTTCAAAAGAAATTAGCAAACGCAATGCGGAACTGATTATTCGCCGTCCTTGGTATCGGTCTACTCAATATCAAGGTTCTTTTCTCTCTTTCTTGCACATTCATGTTTTCGACTGTCTGGCGGCGCCGCGCTCGGGTCAACCCCCGTGGTCTCCGTGGAAGCCAAAAGACCACTGCAACTAACCTACTTTGGCTGCACCTTTTTTGGCGACGTCCTGCAGAGAGAGCTGCGAAGGAACAAACACGCAATGACTGCATCGAGAGAGTAAACAGAGGCACAAGGGAGAAATGAAGTTTCTTCAAACTTTCAAAAATGAAAAACAACTAACAGCATTTTCGCACAGAAAGAGCGAGAAATACACTTGCACCCAACATCGGAACAATATCGGATTTCGGTCGAGAAGCTCCTGTTGACATTAAAGTTTAATCTGCCGCGGGAGCTGCGACACCCTCCACCCCATCTCGCTCGGCATTTTTACGATTTTTCACTTGTATGCGATGTGTACAATCTACCGAGGCAAGTCCGAACAATTCTAGCAGAAGCAGTAACGAAAAAGAAAATTGGCTGTTTCACGTTACTTGTTTGGGTGATTGCCAATATTAATGAACTCCTGAGACTGCAAATTTGACTTCTGTGTTGCCGCTTGCCAAAATACGAAAAAAAAAGGCTATCTTAGCGCTTAGTGTAGGGAAGCAGTGTGAAAGACGAAAGACCAGGCAAAGAAGGACACACATGACAGCGCCATTGTATATGTCTTTCTGTGCCAGTTATTTCATCTTTTGCGCTTTTTCCTTCCAATATGTCATACCAACATGCCCAAGCAACCACTTTAGCTTAGCGCTTAGAGAGCTGGAAGACTTGATTTCGGACTATTTTATCTTCTTTCTTAAAAATGACAAACTCTAGTTACGAAATCTGCCAAAATTCCGTACCTCAAATCAAATTACTTTTAGATGAAGGAATTTAGAAAATGCCATCATTTTTTGCTCAACAATCTTTGTCCTACGAGAACAAAACGAATTTAAATGTAAATAGAAAAAAAAACGATGACCGACCTTCTTAGAGCTTACTGGGAAACATCACACGTGTGGGCAACTGTTTTTTCGCAATTCTGCACTGAAATCCAAGCAGCGGGAGCAATTTCAACTTGAAGCGTCGTACTTGGAAGGTTGCTCACCAAGTTCAAAAAGTAGTTCACGCCAAGTTTCCGTGCATTGTAAAGCAGTTTCTTTATTCAACTCCAATGCATAACTCATATTTTCTTCTCTTGATCTCTTACACTTTTTTTACCTCTGATATACTCTAACAGAGCGTACACTCAAGACCACCTCTCATAGATCGTTGAGCCTCTTCACTTTGTATATAAATATATGTTAGAGTATTTTTGTGGCCACTTGCAAGCGTATATCTGCTTGAATTTTCCTTTTTGCGCATTCGCCTTCATATGCTCTTCCACGATGCTCGGCACGAGAACCGAGTCGCAGACTATTCGCGCGCGCATTTCCACAGCAATTTGCCAGAGCAGTAGCTCGCGATAATTTATGCATAATGAAGCACAGCAGCGACTGCATCGCAGACAAACACCGTGAAAAGCGGGCTTTCCCTTTCAACGACAAGTATAAAGGAAAAGCCTCCACCGCTGAAAACAATCTTTCCTAACCGATGTCGCCGCTTTATACGACGACTAATCCGTTCATTCAAAACCCCAAACAAAGTCGCACCACCAAAGGAGCCATACTTCGTTTCTCCTGCAGTGTATGCTCTCAGAGCGGTTGTGTATGTACACGCACATCAAGATTATTATGTGCGCGCCCATAAAAGCTGCTCTGTGCCGTTCTACCTTCGGCCATGTCGTATGTATGGGTCCTAAATTATTATAGCTGAAAGAAACTGAGGCAAGCATAGCAAATTCTTGTGATAAGCAGGTTGTTTGCAGACTGTATTTCAAGCCTGATACACGTAGCAATGAAGCCCAATGCACGGGGGGGGGGATCCAACTGGCTCGCATTGTTGTTATTGAAAAGAAAATAAGGCTATCGTGAGTGAGCGCATGCTAGCTTTACACCGCGCACAGGTGCGTCCCTACCTTTTGCTTTCTATTCCCTGAACGAAATGGCCCAGCCATTTTGCAACACATCAGCGCCGATTTGTATTGATTGTTATCTTTCGTATAGTGTCGTCCGGCGTTGCTCATCGATCGTCGAGCCTCGAGAGCATGTCCATTTTCGCGTGCACGAATTAAATACGTTAAAACCGATACCACCTCTGCTCGTTCCTTTCCGTCTCCCTTTTCCTGGCCGACAAGTGGCTTATCGCGAGCAGACACAGAGGTCGGCGGCTTCCGTTTTCAAATAAGCCCTCCATACGAACGCTGGCGTGTGGTTCGCTAAGCGAATTGAACGCCGGCTTCCGAGAAACTAGGATTCTTCAACGCAAATAAAAGGAGAGATAAGGGAGGGATTTCCTATGCTGCACGATCCGGTACGGCCGCGCCTGCTCGTTAACCGCGCACGTAGCATATATATGTATATATATATATATATATGTATATATATATATATATATATATATATATATATATATATATATATATATATATGTGTGTGTGTGTGTGTGTGTGTGTGTGTGTGTGTGTGTGTGTGTGTGTGTGTGTGTGTGTGTGTGTGTGTGTGTGTGTGTGTGGTGTGTGTGTGTGTGTGTGTGTGTGTGTGTGTGTGTGTGTGTGTGTGTGTGTTACTCGGTCGGGTTTATTCGGTCTCCCCTGGCGCATGTTTTGTAACACGAAGGATACAGCGCTGCGCCTGGATATCAGCGATAATAAGGTATACGCGCGGCCAATGGACGTCTGCTATTTTGCAACCTCGACGCGAACTGCACAGCGCACAGCCTGGACCGGCGATATTCCCACGAGAAGACGCCACCTCGTCGATACGATCTCTCGAAAGCACGCGTCATATTACCTCCGTAATATTTTTTTTCTCTTCCGAAACTATCGGACAGTAATAAAGATCCTCACCGAGCCAGCAAACGACAGAGACATCAGTGAAATTGAGAGAGAACACAAGAATAAAATTTTCACGACCATGGTCGTACCTGCAGTTATGGGGCTGAAACGTGAGCGCTATATTATATAGTCCCTCTCATCCGTTAGTGATCTCAGCTGCCGATAACAAAGCCACAGAATAACCGATCCTTAATACCAATAAACAGTAAACGCACACCACGTCAAACTAACCATCACTACTTTTATATTTACGCTGCCTGAAGCATTTCCCGCTAGTGCTACGATCGTTATGCATTTGCTTGATAACGACAAGATTTCCCTGATGGAAGCTCCATTCTGCAATACTACCAAGTGTGTAACGTTATTAGACTATGTCTTCCGTGTAGTTGTATTGAGCCTTCCGTACAAAGTAGTGAAAACGAGAATCATTACATAAAGAAAATGTATCCACTTGGAAGTTGTTTACTGTCACCGTTTATTGCACTTCATGTACACACCCAACGGAGTACGTGTTTCGTTTAACATAAAATACGCAATTTAGGCAATTATTTTTTGTAAAACAACTTAAATCAATGTCTTTCAATACCAAGCGTCACGTGCAATGCACAAGACCGTTTCTATGGGTGCTACATCTCAGGGGAAAAAAATTATTTCATTCAAATTAAGTCGTTAAGTTTAAGGCTAGTTCCAACAGATTTATTGGCAGGGCTGGTTATCAAAATACGAAGTGTGTCACAGTGACGCTCCACATAGGTCAGATGAAGCTTCATAATCTGCTAAATGCATGCCAGCGCTTCTATCACGCTCAACTTTTTTTCCCTTCTGGAAATACGCATTGAAAAACGTCACGATCATTGTCATCAGTGGGTTAGGACAATTTCTTTTTGATATTCAAATAATTTCAGTGACCTAGGAACTCTCCCTTAGGCTGGCGATCTTGGCTGTACCTTCGCTGAACGACACTGACTGTCATCATCTTGATTGTTTTTAAAGTAATAGCAATTTACTTACGCTCGAAAGGCTCGGGCGCGGTCGTCACCGTTGTCATCCTACTGTGAGATCGAGTATCAACATCGAGTGTCGTATGACGTCTAATAGCAGCGCTGCTCAAGATTCATGAGAGCAGCTCACATCGCCTATTGTGCTGTGGGCAAGCAAACTTCGAATCCAGCCTGAGGACCTTCAGCCCAACGCTACACCTTTCGATCAGTCTCCATCTTCTCGTCCTTACTTTGAAACTGCCATCTTTCTCAGCGAGTCAGACACTCCGAGTGCTTCGGAAGAGCGCTTCGACCCTTTATTCAGAAAAACAATGAAGACGAGCTGTGGCAGTGTAGAATTTCGTGGGCTATTTGTATGAGTGAAATTCAATAATGTCTTGCCGAGAAAAATTCACTGATTGGTTCTTAAACATATATATACTGTATATTGAAGAACCAATCTTTATATATATATATATATATATATATATATATATATATATATATATATATATATATATATATATATATATATATATATATATATATATATATATATATATATATATATATTAGTTGACCGTTTACCTTGAACCATCAAGTTTTTACAAACTGTCTGTTCCTAATGGTTGCGTGTTCGATTGCCTCCTATGCAGCTAGCCCAGCTGCTGCCGCTGGAAGAGAGCTTCCTCTTGCTCTTCCGTTTTGACAACCCGCTTGAGTCCAGCGTGGAATTCATGAAGGTACGTCTGATCCTCGCGTCTTCATTTCGAGAAGCTCTTTCGTCTGCCGTAGGTTTTATTTCTATCTATCTATCTATCTATCTATCTATCTATCTATCTATCTATCTATCCATCTATCTATCTATCTATCTATCTATCTATCTATCTATCTATCTATCTATCTATCTATCTATCTATCTAGCCGCCTGCGTCTGGGGGCCCTAGTGATCGTCTACGTCAGGGTGCCTTCCACAAATTAAACTGAGTTTTACGAGCCAGAACCGCAATATGCTTACAGAGCGCGCCGTAACTGGGGGCTCTGGATCGATTTTTAGTTTTGACAACCTGGAATTGCACCGTCGCGGTGGTCCAGTGGCTAAGGTACTCGGCTGCGGACCCGCAGGACGCGGGATCGAATCCCGGCTGCGGTGCCTGCATTTCCGATGGAGGCAAAAATGCTGTAGGCCCGTGTGCTCAGATTTGGGTGCACGTTCAAGAACCCCAGGTGGTCGAAAGTTCCGGAGCCCTCCTCTACGGCGTCTCTCATATTCAAATGGTGGTTTTGGGGCGTTGAACTCCACGTATCAGCAACCTGGAATGAAATGTAGTCATTTCTTTATTGCAGCCTCATCGAAATGCATCTTTATTGTTACATCAAAAGTAAATCGAACAACAAGAAATTTTTAGCTATTTCTTCCGGGGTGTAAACAAGCGTTTGCGAATACAATGAAAGGTTGGGTCAGAAACTTGTTATCGCGTATTCTTTCTTACACGAGTGTGCCACTGAACATTCGGACTGCACGCGCGTATTTGTGTGTCCTGGCAACTGCTGCCATCTGACTGACACCCAGAGAACCACCTTCATTATTCACAGCCGTCTTGAATTCGAAGTAAATTACGCGCGCGGGGCGGACAGTCTCTCCATAGTGAATGAGATTCTATTCCTTTCTTATCGGCCACCAATGACTGCTGCCAATCTCAAAGATTATGGGAATTTTCTTTATTTATCACTGGCCAAGAACAGGAATAATTAACATTGGAAAAGAATAGTGGCATTATATCAGACCGGATATTAAAATTCGCATGTCATTCTATTTTATGCGCCAATTTTGTTGTTCGGTTATTTCTTTCTTCCTTTCCTTCTTTCGTTCCCCCTTTCTCGCTTGGTCTTTTTCTTTTTTTTTTCAGCTTCGCTACATTGTTAAAACAACACGTGCCCACAAAAAGGAAAAGTTGACAATAAACCAACCCGCACAAAAAGTGCCAAATTTAACTTTCTTCTTTTTTCATTTGAGTAAAAAATTCGCGAGTTTGATAAAAGCGGCTCTAGCGTATACGTTTTCTTAGCTTGTCGGCATATCTAAAACTAAAAGAAAAACATCCGAAATTCCCAAGTTTTTTTGTACTTATTTCCTATCATTACAGTAATGTGTCATCCTTTTATTTTTTGTTCTTTATTTTTTACACCCTCCCTCCCGCTAGACCTCCTCAGAACAGTGACTCCTCAAACTTTTTTTTCAATACGCATTTCCTATTTTATTCTCTCTTTGCTTCTCGACCACGGGCACATTAGAAAGCAATAAGAAATCGGATGCCTGCTGCAGCTGCTTTCAGCGAGCAATCCGAAGAAAGAAAACGCTGCCATCGCAAAAAGAGCTGCCTCTGTCGCCTGGGCTCCGCAAACATGCGCGGCCACCTGAGACGGGAAGGAGAGCGAAGGGATCATCACTGTGTAGCGTGTAACGACATCGCTAAGCCGCTTTTACGAGCTCTCGCGCGGGGAGATCCTGAGCCCGGGGCTCGCATCCGCTGCCGGCGGCCTCCGGAATCGATAAGGAACGTTATAAACGGGGCATAAATCAGCCAGGCGCGGGCGGTGCACGCGGCTGACGAGCTGCTGCAATCCGATGGCGCACGCGCAACAGCGCGGAGAACAACCGCGAGGAACAAGGTGCCGCCACGCACGCAGCAGCGCACCGGAGTCTCATTTACGAGGTGCGCGCCGGGGCGACACCTTGAGGCAGCTGCGCGGCACAGGAGGCACGCGTCGCTGATTTCGCAGCGCCAGAAAACGAGCGAAGTGTAGAGTTCCCTCTGGCAGCGAGCACGGAGGAAAGAGCCAATCGCGACCTCTGCAAACATCACGGTCATGTACTAAAGCTGCGCTAGCTGGAGAATATGAGCACGCTACATTATACTGTACCGGGTCATGCCGAATGGGCCTAATGTGGGACCTAGTTTCTTCGGCAAAGGCACGTATCAGAACAGATTTAAGTTGCGTATGTATAGAGATAAGTCCGCAGCCAGAATTTTTTTTTTGGGGGGGGGGGGGTGGCATCTGTCTAAAAATTTGGACTCCCCCCCCCCTGGCTACCCCTGGCAACGGGACTGTGTAGAGAGCAGTGCAGCGGCGTTACATTGTCCGATGAGTTCAGTCTTCAGATGTGACCGAATAGCTTGGCGCCGCTGATTTCGTCATGCATGGCTATTTCGAATGGTATTACAAGCACCAACTACTGTTGACTTGTAAGTGCGGAGCAACTTAGAGGCCCTGGCTGTCGCATGCTGTCATCGTACACTGTCGCAGCTTGGCCTAACGCAGACGAAACCACGAATAGCATAGCCATCTTTAGCATACTGAAAGTGCGCTCGTGCCAAGGAGAAGTCTTCTTCGTCTTGTTCTTTGAGCGCCTCGACGATGATGATGATAAGCGTGGAAAACTTCATAGGCCCGGGCTCTCGTGTGGTGTCATCGCATGGCGCAACGCAGGCAAAACCACTTACAAAAATAAAAAAGAGAGAGAAAGCGAGCGAGAAATATAAATAGAGAAAAGGAAAAGGGGAAAGATATGAAGAAAAGCGATTCCATGCTTACAGGAGGTTTTCAGAAGCCTAGAATGGGAACAGTTAGGGATAAGAGTTAATGGAGCATACCTTAGTAACCTGCGCTTCGCCGATGACATTGCATTGCTGAGTAACTCAGGGGACGAATTGCAACTCATGATTACGGAGTTAGACAAGGAGAGCAGAAAGGTGGGTCTTAAAATTAATCTGCAGAAAACGAAAGTAATGTACAACAACCTCGGAAAGGAGCAGCGCTTTGAGATAGGTAATAGTGCACTTGAAGTTGTAAAAGACTATGTCTACTTAGGGCAGGTAATAACCGCTGAGCCTAACCACGAGATTGAAGTAACTAGAAGAATAAGAATGGGGTGGAGCACATTCGGCAAGCACTCTCAAATTATGACAGGTAGATTGCCACTATCCCTCAAGAGGAAGGTATATAACAGCTGTATCTTGCCGGTACTTAGCTACGGAGCAGAAACCTGGAGACTTACAAAGAGGGTTCAGCTTAAATTGAGGATGACGCAGCGAGCAATGGAAAGAAAAATGGTAGGTGTAACCTTAAGAGACAAGAAGAGAGCAGAGTGGATTAGGGGACAAACGGGGGTTAAGGATATCATAGTTGAAATAAAGAAGAGGAAATGGACATGGGCCGGGCATGTAGCGCGTAGACAGGATAACCGCTGGTCATTAAGGGTAACTAACTGGATTCCCAGAGAAGGGAAGCGGGTTAGGGGGAGACAGAAGGTTAGGTGGGCAGATGAGATTAAGAAGTTTGCGGGTATAAATTGGCAGCAGCAAGCACAGGACCGGGTTAACTGGCGGAACATGGAAGAGGCCTTTGTCCTGCAGTGGACGTAGTCAGGCTGATGATGATGATGATGATGATGATGAAGAAAAATATAAAGAGCAAGAAAGAGAAAGGAGTGGATAGAGAGATGGGAAGCAATAAATGTAAATAAATAGAGAAAAAAAAGACAGGCAGAAATGAAAAAATAATAAATAAAAAGAGAGAAAAAGAGAGAAAGAGAGAAGGAAAGAAGAAGAAAAGTGAAGAGAAAAAAAGAACCCAATCCCCCAAAGTGGGTAGTACCATATATTGAAGGAAAACAAACAAACAAACCAAGGAGGCCACCCAGCCTCGCACTCTCTTCAGGCATGGCGCCACTTATGCAAAGCTGCCTCAATTTTATTTTTTATATTTGAAGTGAAATGAAAGATGAACGCCGTAGGTGTGCGTGTGTGCTGGCTCGCTACACATTGAACAAGCTGCGTTGACTCTCATTGCTCTGTAACGATTTTCTGCGATGGTGTTCCCGTAAATCTCTTTACAAGAGCGTTATGCGAGCCACCCTATACCCCCCAAACGCGCACACCTCAGCCACAGTGTGTTAACAACAAGACTCTCAGAATCTATCGTACTTCCGCAATTAAGACTCGCTATAGCCGCTCGACAGTACTTCGATACGCCGGCCTGTGGCTCAAGGGCCTCGCTTTCCGAACCCGCGCGCGTACATAGATCATTAAACGCGTTCAAACCGATGAAATCAGGATGGGACGACTGAAAATAACTGTACCATGCTGAAGCTTTCACTTTTCAGGACAAGTGTAAACCTCATCAGAGGGAGCTTTACTGCTCGCCAACAGAGATGACGAGCGTAATTCACGCTAGTCTGAACCACACCCAATGTGTTCCCACGGGCAACCATAACATCTTTACGCCCGGTGAATCGCTGTCTCTTCACGAACTTCGCCCCACTTCACCTCGATTAGTTTTTTTCTTTGTTTTGTTTTTTTTAGCGTACTCGGTGATCGATCGTCACCGCCACCGCGAGCGATCACAAGCATTTGACGTCAGCTATTAAGAGCACCGGGATCAATGAAGTGCAAGCAACACGGATAGTCTCACTTTGCATAAGCACCCCTAAGTTAATGTCCTACATGAGCACGAGCGCAAAAGGTGAACCATCGAGTACACTAGGGTCGTGGAGTTATTTCCGTGCGACTCGACGGGAACCGTAGTAGAAGTCATTTACGCGCAGACAGGACGAGCACCTCGGCGCCCCGCGTGGCACAGCGGTTCCTAAGTGCACCCCGAGTCAGTTTCGAGCCAGCACCGCGCGATGACAGCCCCGCGACAATGGCGTTGTTCACGACTACGGAAGCAGCGCTCGCAG